TTGGCTGAACACTGATAAAAGTCACAAGACTGCTCTAACTGCTGATGAGAAAAGGTATTTAGCAGTTTATATTTACTAAAAAAAAATTGCGTTTCCATGTTGCGTGTACTGTGGGAGACCAGATATAGTGAATGCAGGCTCCTGGGTTTAGTAAAGCTTTAAGAAGACACACAGTCACTCAATGAAATTGGAGGAGAAGCAGTTTAACCTTAAACTGTGCAGGGGTTTCTTTACTGTCAGAGTGGTAAGGATGTGGAACTTTCTTCCACAATTGGTGGTGCAGAAGTGTTTCTAACAGAAAAAAATATAAAAATCAAAATATATATCAACATATCCAACAATACAAAAATACAAAAAAGTGTCCAAAATATCAAAATATCAAAAATAGTCCCCACAGATATAGACCATTGTACTCCTTCTCTTTCAACAAAAATTTCCTTCTCAACACCCGCAAATCCTGATGACAATACACCTCAAAAGAAAAAAACTCGACATAGTGTCATACCTTTTAAATAATTGAACCACATGTGCCACTCACTGTGCAACATGCAAAATCTATATAGATGTGTATACTCTATAAGCGAGTATCTATATACATGCAAATGATCTATTGTGTACCTAAAATGAATATATAAATATAAATATGAATATAAATATAAATATAAGTGAAAGACACTCGCACGAAGTGTCAGCTACACAATAAGTGAGAACACACTCAAAGTTATCACTGCAAAAAGTGTATCACCGCACTCTGTATACATCAGTGTGCACCTTAAACCCAAAATAGCACTCTCCAACTCATGTGCTGATGGATAATTACCCTATATAAGAAATGACAGGGCATAATACCACTCTGGGTTAGCATCTCATCATTCAGGTTTCTTCCAATGTTAGGGTTATTCCTCCATTTTCCTCATGAGAAAATCCACAGTTACAAATGGTAGATCAAACAAAATCTTCCTTTATTTAGCAACTTACATTAAAATTTGGGTGAAGCAGCTCCTCCTCAAAGGGATACAGGTGTAGACAAGTTTAGGGAAACACTGGCCACATGTTCCCACTTCCAAGATGGCCGCGATCGCACTTCTGGTCAGCGTCGATACGTCTGACGTCACGTGTCACTGATGCGTTTCATCACTTCCTATGACTTTTTCAGAAGGGTCAGACAAATTTTAATGTAAGTTGCTAAATAAAGGAAGATTTTGTTTGATCTACCATTTGTAACTGTGGATTTTCTCATGAGGAAAATGGAGGAATAACCCTAACATTGGAAGAAACCTGAATGATGAGATGCTAACCCAGAGTGGTATTATGCCCTGTCATTTCTTATATAGGGTAATTATCCATCAGCACATGAGTTGGAGAGTGCTATTTTGGGTTTAAGGTGCACACTGATGTATACAGAGTGCGGTGATACACTTTTTGCAGTGATAACTTTGAGTGTGTTCTCACTTATTGTGTAGCTGACACTTCGTGCGAGTGTCTTTCACTTATATTTATATTCATATTTATATTTATATATTCATTTTAGGTACACAATAGATCATTTGCATGTATATAGATACTCGCTTATAGAGTATACACATCTATATAGATTTTGCATGTTGCACAGTGAGTGGCATGTGTGGTTCAATTATTTAAAAGGTATGACACTTTGTCGAGTTTTTTTCTTTTGAGGTGTATTGTCATCAGGATTTGCGGGTGTTGAGAAGGAAATTTTTGTTGAAAGAAGAAGGAGTACAATGGTCTATATCTGTGGGGACTATTTTTGATATTTTGGACACTTTTTTGTATTTTTGTATTGTTGGATATGTTGATATATATTTTGATTTTTATATTTTTCTGTTAGAAAGAAAAGTTTTATAAATTTGTTTGTTTGGCCTTCAAGGGTGGAGGTGCATAGCTTTTCTGGGATATTATATTGGGATTTTTGCTGTGTATTTTAATATAGGTGCAGAAGTGTTGATAGATTAAAAAAACCCAAAACATTATATGGGCATCTTAGCGAAAACAATATACAGGGATATGATAAGTGATATTGATATTGACATAAACACACACACACATCTACACAAGTTGAACTGGATGGACTGGTGTCTTTATTAAACCTTACCAGCTATATAACTATGGTATGTGAAAGGGCAACTCACTGAAGGTATTATGGGGAACTAAGACATGAACTGTTGGGGCTCTCATGTGATCGTTGGGGGCCTCTGATATGAACATGGCGACGTTGATCTGAATGTGGGGATTCTGATGTGACGGGGGGACTCTGATGTGATCATAGGGGCTCTCATGTGATTGTGGGGCTCTGATATGAACTGGGGGTCTCTAATGTGAATGTGGAGGACTCTGTTGTGAATGTGGAGGGCTCAAATGTGAATGTAGAGGACTCTGCTGTGAATGTGGAGGACTCTGCAGTGAGTGTGGAGGACTCTGATATGAAAGTGGAGGACTCTGATATGACTGCTGGGCATTCTGATGTGAATGTGGGGTGCTATAATATGAACAGTGGGTTCCTGATATGAAGGTAGCTACATCTTGCTACCTGGTTGATAAGTAGGCACTGATTATTTTAGGTGTTGTATGTTGTGTGTTAGATTTTAGGTTACCATGCCCCTGGCCCCACCCACCATTTAGCACAGAGCTCTATATGTGCCGCTTTGGCGCTAAACACATTTAGTGTATGGGGGGAAGGAAACAAGTTACATGTAGGTGGCCAGAGTCTGGAATGGTTTTCCCTTATTTAAGCTGCATACAAAGAGACAAACAGAGTGCACACAGGCCTAGTGCATTACCTTAGAAAATGAATTTATTGTATAAAAATGGTGATATGCTCACAAAGGATAAAATATCAAAGGCACATCATATGAAGTACAGCACGGTCCAATCTCACTAGATGTTATCTGTATGGGGACTAATAGACCTCAAACTGATGCGTTTCGAGGCCTTGCCTCTTCCTCAGAGCCAGTTAGCAAGGCCTCGAAGACACCCCTTATGAGGAAATCAAGGAAGTGACAAAATGCGTAAAGGGACGTGACGTTGGACGTTGCCTGAGAAACCGGAAGTAGCAGAGCGGCCATTTTAAGTGTGGTATTACTGTTTGGCGTTCCTGGAAGCTGCTTGAGGTGGAGTCATGGGATCTTTTATGCAATTTTTTTGGCGTTTTATGTAAGCATATTTCTATTAAAGCGTGGAGCTGTATATCTCGAACATACTGCACTATATGGCTTTATTTTCTCTCTATGAATGTTTTGGAGTATAAGGAGGCAAGAGTACTGGAAAGAGTATTGAGGTATCAGAAGGTATCCATAAGGTTCCGGTTGATCCATATCCTCCTCTGGATTTATTTTAAAAGGCTGGCTTACTATTTATTGGGGTAAAGGTATGCAATTCAGCCACTTAGATGTGTACACTGAGCAGGGGCGGACTGAAAACTCATGGGGCCCCCGGGCAAAAGGGGATAATGGGGCCCCTGTGTCTTCGCCCACAGGCAAACCACACCCAAAAAAGCCTATGAAAGGTACCAGGGGCATCTCATGGGGCCCCCTACTGACCTAGGGCCCTCGGGCAGTGCCCGAGTGCCCGAATGGTCAGTCCGCCCCTGACACTGAGTGTTCGCGGAGACGCATATATATAATTATTACACAGAGTGGTTCACTATCACGTGCTTTCACAGTTTATGAATTTTGCACGAAAATAATGAGGAATTTATTTTTTGTTTTAATAATTATTTTGGTGATTATTGATGAATTTATTAATTATTTTGTGAGGGTAATACACTATTGAGGTTTCCTTTATTTTGAGGTACACAGCATTTACTGGATTCATACGGCAAGTTTTTTTCAGAAATTGGAAGAAAGATTTATGGACTTTAATGTTTGGGTTTTCACGTAACAATTGTTTGGACTCTAAGAAGGTTTATTATTATTGATCTATACTTTCAGAGGTGACAGTGGGCTTTTTTTAGTGTTATTTCACAGGGTATTATAGAGTATATGTTATTATTTTTTTGGACACCGATTCATATTCATAAGAAGGCCTCAAAACGTGTCAGACATTTAGAGGTCTATTAGTCCCCATACAGACACCATCTAGTGAGATTGGACCTTGCTGTACTTCATATGATGTGCCTTTGATATTTTATCCTTTGTGAGTATATCACCATTTTTTACAATAAATTCATTTTCTAAGGTAATGCACTAGGCTCGTGTGCCCTCTGTATGTTTTTTTGTATGTATGCAGCTCATTTGGATTCCCTGGTCCGGTGAGGGCAGCAAGGCATGCATCCGTTAGGCATCCTATGTGTGGTTACAGTTACTGTGAAGTCCATCTTCCAGGAGTCGAAACATTTGCCATTTCCCTTATTTAAGGCCAGGGGGCCCAACTTATGATTTTGCATATAGGCCATCTGCATTCAGAAAATGCCCTTGATCGCAGAATACTTTTATATACAATTATCTTAGTCTTTAAGACAGTCAAAGGCCGTAGTCATGTCTATTCAGCTTCAAAGATTTCAGTCCAAAGTCTGAGTGTGGCAGCCAATGAAAGTTGTCGCTCTGTTTGACTCTGGAATGGGCTGTCTTACACATTAGTTTATGAATGGGAAATTGAGAGGAACGTGCAGTCAAGTGACTGGTTAACACAATAGCTTGTCCCTCTGTATCCTGTTGAATTCCAAAGCTAGAGCCCTGAAAAAAATGCTTTTCTAGGCATCGCTGAGCTCACTGGCAAAGGTCTGGTTGAGTACTATGCAGATCTGCAGAATTATACAGAGCAGAGAGAAGATGATAAGACATTGCCCCAGTGACCTGTCAAGTGGAAAGAGCCAAGAGCTCAGTGCTGTGTGCCGGCATCCAACCTCCCTTCTGAACATCGGTGAAGGAAAAGACAAGCTGGCATCTGCCTTTGCCACGCACAGGTGTGGACGTCACAGCAGAGATCTGAAAGAGGAGCAGCAGCAGCTGAGGAAGAAGATAAACAGCCGGGAGAGGAAGAGGATGCAAGATCTTAATTTGGCAATGGACGCCCTAAGAGAAGTCATCATGCCATACTCTGCCACCCATTGCCAGAGCTCCCCAGGTAGGAAGCTCTCCAAGATTGCCACCCTCTTGCTGGCCAGGAATTACATACTGCTTCTTGGAAGTTCTCTTCAAGAATTACGTAGAATCATCGGGGACATGAGTGGTCCAGCACCCAGGTTGCTTCTTGCTGGTCTGCCACTCTTTGCAGCTCCAGGGTCGGTTTTCCTGGCACCTGGAAGCAACGGAGAGACTCAATGCTCAGGCAAGATGCACTCCTTGTCGGTGGAGGATCAACCATGCTCGGCTTTCACCATCCCAGGAGGGAGCAGTGTTTGTGCCTGTTCGGTCTGCAGGTTCAGTCACTTCGTTCCCACCAGCCTCAACATGAAAGCTGTACAGCTGCCCAAATAGTCATAAACCCATAAAGGCCAAGAAATGTTTGAAGGACTATGGATGGACATTGAAGACGGGCCAATGCTAGCCACAAACTCTGCCAAGTCTGCAACCAAATCAACAAAGATCACCCCTGCCTGCCATAATCTAATAATAAAGAATGGGTAATAAGAGCAGCTATAGTGGTGGGATCAGCAATAGTAATCTTATATACAAAAGGATCAGTCTTGGAGTGAGAAGTAGATCTTAGATCTTGCAACCTCAGTAGACACTACAAGAACAGACAGTCCTCAGAACTGGTTAAAGATCTTCTCACTCATCTCCTGTGTATGGTACCCCAGCAATCCTTGATTGATTTGTCTTGTTGATAAAATATTATCTTACAAAATATCCATAAGGTGACCTGTCACATGTAATTGCAGTGTTATATAGCAGCATGCGACCCTGTTGAATGTGATTATACTTTTTAAATTCATGCTGTCATTGCCGAGCATTCTGCTGTTGAAAATCACCCATTCGGGAGCCTTTGATTTCAATCTCCAACACTTTTTTTCAGAAAGCTTTGCTGTGTTGGAGATGCTCTATGTCCAGGCTTGCAGATAGATTATTTAACACTTTGTTCAGAGTGATATATTTGTACTATATTAATATGGACACTGTGTCAGAAGTGGAAACTTTACTTTGTTACATCCGTAAACTGCTGCTGGTCCAAGTACTCTTTCCTTAGTGACAGACTGGAAGTTGTTTATCACACAACCTATTTCAACATATGAGCAGCAAAAGGACAATCGTCTTAACTGGTTAATCTAATAGCAGACAGCCATGGCCTAACCTTTGTAATAATATTGGGTGTCCATTTCTACATTTCACTCTTACGGGTTGATTTACTAAAACTGGAGAGTGCAAAATCTGGTGCATGGTAGCCAATCAGCTTCTAACTTCAGCTTGTTCAATTAAACTTTGACAATAAAACACGGAATCTGATTGGTTTCTATGTGGAGCTGCAACAGATTTTGCACTCTCCAGTTTTAGTAAATCAACTTCACATTCTCTTTTCTTCTGTAGCTTTGAGCTGCCACTACTAACAGTTGCTATTTGAAAAAGTTTGAAGTTAGTAATAAAAAAATTGCATCAATCTTTTCTTTTATACAGAATACAAAAAAAAACTGTTTTTGGGTTAAAATGTTAAAAGTCAGAATGCTGCAGTCATACAGACCTTAAAGGGAAAATATGCGCAGGCTGCAATTTCTTCCCTGGCTGTCATGGTATGGTTCAGTATTTTTACGTAAATGAAAAATTTGCAGACTTTCCTGATTTGTGTGTTTGTTCCAGGCTAGTGTCTCAAAGTAAGAAACAATTCACTGCAGTCCTCTTAGTGGATGGCAAAATGAGTAGCTAGCCAAAACTAGTATAGACATCCGATCATAAAATTTCATATATATATATATATATATATATATATATATATATATTGAAGTGTTAAAGACATAGGTAGCCAGGCTGTTGGCATTTTCAGAAGGAGGTCAGTAATGGTAGTTTCTACATGCTTAGTACAAGCTTTCCCTTAAAGAGATGACTTAATGGGAAAATAATATCAGTATCAATTAAAGTGTTTTTCAAAACAGTGTGGAGGAGTTGGAACCTCTCTCAGTTTATATTGCTGTCTTTGGCAGTTCTCGGGAAGTTCATCATCTATATTTGCCCTGGTGATCAATGTCACTGAGGGTGTAATGGAGAGAAAATCCAAAATTTAGAGTTGTCACCAGAACAGGAGAAAGGAGGAGGGGAATCTCCTAATGAGGACACGTTTTGGTGACGGCTGTCTAAAAAAGGATTTCCTTCACTTTGCAGAGAATTCCTACATTCTTATCCTCCATGATGGACAAAAAAGACCTGACAAAAAAATTGGGGGGCTTTTAGCTAACTTATTAAATGGTAGACCAAATCTGCATATATGTACTTTTCTAATGTGCATATATAAAACAGAGCTCATGAAAGCCTTGCTGTTTGCTAGTAGTGATATTATTAAGCTGCCAGTGTAATTTAAAGGGGGTTTCCACCATCACCAACATCAAATCACTTTTAGTGAATGGCTACTGTTTACCTTCGAGTAACATTTACTGAATGCACCTTTTCTGCCTTCTTGGATCCTGTAGCAGCATCTTCATACCATGTCACGTACCTGCAGATGTAGCTCTGAGATGTAACAGGACAGCTGTACCAACACTGGCATTTTAGGAAGTATTTAGACCCATATATTTATTAGACCATCAATAAAACAAATATTAATATTTTCTACAGATTAGTAATAAATATTGCCACTAATGAAGACAGAGAAAATATTGCTATGTAACTGACAGGTTGACTTATACTGTAGATACAAAAGAAATTCAAGGTAAAACAGCACATGGCTGGGATGTAACATATTTAGATGAATTTGTGAAAGTACCGAAGTTTTTTTTTAATATGCTATTAGGTATTTCATATTTTGATAGTGATGAAATAAATGCAGTTTTTTAGATGAACACTGCTTTCTGTGTCACTTAATAAAAAAAAAAGAAAACCATACAGTATGTCAAAATGATCAATTGCAATGCACTTGTGCTTTAAGGCATATCAACACTTTGAACAAAATCAATAAATGTGGAATCACTTTTTATATCCATGTCCTGTTAGATAAATAGATAGATAGATAGATAGATAGATAGATAGATAGATAGATAGATAGATAGATTTTTTTAAGACAGATAGATATTTTAGAAGATAGATAGATAGATATAGATAGATAGATAGATAGATAGATAGATAGATAGATATTTTAAGATAGATAGATAGATAGATAGATAGATAGATAGATAGATAGATAGATAGATATTGTAAGATAGATGGATAGATTTTTTAAGACAGATAGATATATATTTTAAGATAGATAGATAGATAGATAGATAGATAGATAGATAGATAGAAAGAAAGCTGCAACTAATGATTATTTTCATAATCAATTAGTTGGCCAAATATTGTTTCAATTATTCTCTCTTTATTGGGTTAAAAACTTATAAAAAGGGTGGTGTACAATTAAGTTAACGTGTAAGCAGATAATACATTAAGGAAAAACACTTTCTGCCTTTAGAATCAATTTAAATCACTTCCTTCTCCTGTCCTAAGACTACATGTTCCAAGAGCCATTGCTCCTCACACATTCACAAGCGCTCAGGCACCTACTGACATGTATAGATGGTTTACTGAGCTGTATGTGTGCTGCACTATGTATGATGACATGCAAACAAATAATGCATTCTGTATCCTGGCTAACTAATCAGCTGACCGACTAATCAATAATGAAAATAGTTGACAGCTATTTTTATTATCGTCTATAACTGATTATGTTAATTAGTTGTTGCAGCGATGGATGGATGGATGGATGGATGGATGGATAGATAGATAGATAGATAAATAGATAGATAGATAGATAGATAGATAGATAGATAGATAGATAGAAATATATATAAATAGATAGTATCAGATAGATAGATGAATTCAGATAGGCAGAAATATATGTAAATAGATTCCGATTTTAGATAAATAGATAAATAGAACATTGTGTATGTTAAAGTATAACTGAAGTCCAACTACAAAATAGTCTAACTATAGTACTTGAGTTTTGGATAGAGTAGGACAGGTTAGACTCTTCTACCAGGTTATTTATTTTTTTGCTGTGTCCTGCTGGAAAGATTTCCCTTCACTCCCTGTTTTACAGATGCAACAGAAATCAGGATAAAATCTTCCCAAAGTGAAGGGAATTCCCAGTTGTCATCTGGACATTTGTCCCCATGAGATTTCCCCTGCTCTGCATGACAACTTTACAATGGATTTCTCCTTACCTTCTGATTGTACAAATAGAGGATTGAATCTTCTCAACTTCTCATAGACAGCAATAAAATCTTTACAGAGACTCTAACCCTTCACCATTCTATATAAAGGAAAGAGAAAGTTTTACCTTTAACACAAAGCAATTAAAGGAACACTAAATAATATCCTTATTCTCCAAAAATAATCCATACACATCCACCACTTAATGGCCTTTTAATTTATTTTTCATTAAATTGTTTCTTACTGTGTTCTTCTGCTTTCTTGTAACATCTCAGCAGGCTCCCAAACTTCTCCTTTCCCCCTCAGTCTTGTTTGTATGGAATGAGCAGTGCACGTTCATTGCATTCACGTACAGTGCTCTTGCTGAATACACATCTCATAGTCCTTAGTACTTCTCAGGGGCAAGCAAGAGAGGGTGGCTGCATTCTTACATGGAGAATGAACGTAGCCACCCTCTAACAGGAAGTCAGATCACAGCAGGAAAAAAGCAGGAATCTGGAAATTCTGGGAGGCTGAGAGCAATAGAAGGGACTATTTGAGTTAAGAATACATACTTGAGTTTAGTGTCACTTTAAACATTCATCAGCCTGCAAGCCCCACTTTGATTAATTGTGATGAGCAATATTCATAGCTTATTAGACACAAATACTCTTTACATCATGATAATTGAGTAAGCCGTATGTCCATCATCCCCTGAAAGAGTCTACAACTCACTGCAAACCTGTACAAGGGATAGGGCTTAACCATGTGCTGCCATCTATTGCAGAGGACCGGTACTACACCAGTCAAGTCTTGTGGCACACACATGCAATTCATGATAGTCATGTCAACTCACTGTATTAACTTCATTATACATGTAAGTGGTCTACAAACTTTAACAATACATGTAAGTGCCCGGTCACGTCGGGTGCGACTTGCCATGTGATTTGCCATGCCATCCAAGTATCAAATCGCATGGCAAGTCCAGGGGCGGACTGACCATTTGGAAACTCGGCACTGCCCGAGGGCCCGGGGTCAGTAGGGGGCACCATGAGATGCCCCTGGTACCTTTTTCATAGGCTTTTTTGAGTTTTGGCAAGGACACAGGGGCCCCATGATCCCTTATTGCCCAGGGGCCCCATGAGTTGTCAGTCCGCCCCTAGGCAAGT